TTTTTTCCCTTTTTGTAGTTGATATGAATTTTTATTTTTTTTATGTTCGACTAGTTAAAATAGTTTATAGAGATAGGACACAAGTACCCCTTTTAGACTATGCCCAAAATCTCAGAGACACTCCTTAACTATACTAAGGTCCTATTACCCTTCTGTGTCCATTTTTTTTGTAAATTTTGTACACCTTTTTGACTTACGTGACATCCAAATATCTCTCACGCGCCTAAACTATATGGAGTCACGAAATGTGTTACATATGTCAAAAAGGTGTATATAATCACTTATTTGACAATCAAGAAAATGACTTGTTTTATAGGAGTGAAAACAAGTTTCATTATTAGTAGCATTCCATATATATAAGTTGTTCTATCAGAGACCCCCAAACTTCTTGCCTCACCTAACCGTGTGATGTTTGTTGATGATTGTTACACTGAGATTGGATCAAAATCTTATACATTTATCGATTTTATTTATGCTATATTAATTATATTATATTAATTGTCTCATCTAATAAATTTATCATTTTATATCATGCTGGTTTTATATTTTTACCTTTTTTCCCCATTGGTTAGGTGGCATGAAAAAAATATTATTTGTATAGGAGTGAATCATGCCCTCTTTCATATGCGGGCTTAATCTCTTTTTTTTTTCTTGAGTCGAACACATAAATATTATTTTCATTAATAATTATTGATACTGAGACTTTCAATTAGAATCTCAAACATCTATCAACTCTGATTATACCATATTAAATTCTGTGAACAATCTCGTCTAACAATTGTCTTGAATTTTTTTTTTTTTCTCCTTTGGCTAAGTGGCATTTATTTGTTTAGAAGTGAATAACACCCTCTTTCACATACATTCTTGATCTTTTTCTCTTCTTTTTTTTCTGCGAGCCAAACACTAATAAATATTTGTTTCATCAAAATCTCAAATATCTAGTGACTCTAATTATATACATATCATATTAAATTATGTGAATTGTCTCATCTAAAGAATTATTCCGTCATTTTTTAAAAAAAATATTTTTTTTCTACCTTGCTTAGGTGGCATAGGAGATACTAACTTGGGTCCAACACAAATGGACAATACTATGAATAATGGAAGACTAAATTCATCAGATAGTTTGGATTATGATTATCAATGTTCATCAAATTTGGGACCATGCAATTATACATATTGTAATGAAGCTTGTTGTTATAGGGAATGTAATAATTATTATAGTGGATTTCACCCACATCCAATATGTGAGGATCAGGGACCTAGGTATAAGTATAAATTGTGTATTTGTTGGCATGATTGTTAAAAAAAATAAAAATAGACATCGTATATCATATAATAATACTTAACTTGGATATATATTATATGTATATAAATATCCAAGTAATTAAAAATAAAGGATTTGTAATTTTGATGTCGTTTATTTAATTGATGTAGTGGTAAAAAAATTTTGTATGTTAGACAATTACATGCGTCTTTCATTGAGTAAAGACTCGTGAAAATGCTTTGAGAATCAATCCTAAACCTCTTTGTTTGAATGATATTTGCGGCTATTAACTTTTCATATTATATATATTATTATTTAAAAAAAAAAAAAGAATCCAACAACAATACTATTTCCAAAGCTATAAAAAATAATAATTTATGTCTCGCATTTACTTTTGTGAGAATATGAGAATTTTTTTCTGTCTTTGCCATAAAAAGGAATGTCCTCGATTAAAAAACCAGCCAATTTATCACCATTTATGCCTTGTAAAAATATGTTAAGGTATTAAATTAATGTGTTCCTAATATGAGGAAAACAAAATAGGATGTAAATTAAAGTTGAAAAAAAAATGGTATAAGGTACAATGAGGTTATGAAATAATATGTAAAGCATTATAATGACAAAGAGAAATGAGATAATGAGTTAAATAAATTTAAGAAACAATATAATAAAATTAATATTAAAGTAAAACAGATATTTAAAATAACGATACAATCGATAATAACCATACGAACAAGTTGTAACTGTTGTTCATTAAATAAAAAAATATTAATTTAACAGTTATAATTTAAAAATAATAACAGATGTGATTTGACTATAATTATTATATATCATTTGACTATAATTAGTTCACTCCCATTTACTACTATTTAGAATTTGTCACTCACCAAAAGTCAAAGTATAATTAATTTATCCTCCTATTTATATTTCAACCTTAGTTGATCTCCCTAATCTATTTGGTCAACTATAATCCACTTGGTCTTCCTAGCTATCTAGTTAACCTTAAACTTAAAAGACCCCCTACCACCCCCCCACCCCCCAAAAAAAAAAAAAACTTTGTAAAGAGTCCTAATAAATTCAATTTGATCCCTATTTAAGGATAATTTAGTAACTCAACAACATCATTGAATTAAAAGATAAACAAAATCTAATAAAAACAAATTATAAGCAATGTTAATTAATTCCACATTATCTACTTGCTTGAATTCTCATCCCTATATAAAACCTTCAAAGACATTTTTATATGAATACATAATATTTAAAATGAGGAATTCATGTAAATCATAGATCAATAATTTTCCTCAAGATTCATATATATGGCTATTCTAGTTTGGTACCCAAGTTTTTGTGCCATTTTTATTCTTACTCTTGTAACAGGTTAGTTATGTTTTTTTTCCCCTTTTAGATTGTGTTTGATATCAAGAAAATGACTTGTTTTATATCAGTGAAAACAAGTTTTATAATTAGTAGCATTTCATATAAGTTGTGCTAATATCACACGCCCCCAAACTTTTAATTAGAATTGCAAACATCTATCAATTCTGATTATATCATATTAAATTGTGCAAACACTCTCATCTACCAATTTTATCTTTAATTTTATTTTTTGTTTTTTGTTTTTCTCCCTTGGATAGATGGCGTTGGAGATTTATTTGTTTAGGAGTGCATCACACCCTCTTTCACATACATGCTTGATTTTTTTCTCATTATTTTTTCGCGAGCCAAACATAAAGAAATATTATTTTCATGAAAATCGTTAAATTATGTGAACTATCCTATCTAAAGAATTTTATTCCGTTTTTTTTTTCTAATGTTAATTTTTTTTTTACCTTGCTTAGGTGGCATGGGAGATGCCAACTTGGGTCCAACACAAATGGAGAATATTATGAATGGTGGAGATGATTTAGATTATGATTATCAATGTTCAGCTAATTTGGGTCCATGCAATTATGAATATTGCAATGAAGCTTGTTGTATTAAGCAATGTTTTAATTATTATAGTGGACTTCACCCACGTCCAATTTGTGAGGATTGGGGGCCTAGGTATAAGTATAAATTATGTATTTGTTGGCATGATTGTTATAAAAATTAATAGACATCTTATATTATATAAATAAATACTTAATTTGGATTTATATTATATATAAATATCCAAGGAATTAAGAATAAAGAACTTGTAATTTTGATGTCGTTTATTTAATAGTAATAATAATAACTGATGTTGTGTGAATGTATTTTATATGTATAATTATATATATGTTAGGCAATTACCGGTGTCTTTCATCAAGTTAACTTCTTTGTTTGAATGATTTCTGCGGCTACTAACTTTATATATATATATATATATATATATATATATATATTAAAAGGGATCTAACAACAACATTACTTCCAAAACTATAAAAATCAAATAAATTATATCTTACATTTACTTAAATTGTGAGAATATGAGAATTTTTTCGGTTTTGCTGCAAAAAGGAATGTTCTCAATTAAAAAATCAGTCAATCGAGAAAATCAAGAAATGAAATAATCCTAATAAAAAACAAGTTCATGAGAAAGGGAGAAAATAATTTAGTCGAGTCTCTTTATAATAATTACCATCTATATTAAAATTATACTATCATATTTTTATTGGAATGTTTAATCATGTTATATTATGCTATATGATTTTATAACAATTAAAAATATTAAAATAAATATTTTTATTCGTTCATTTTTACTTGTCAATTATACTAAATAGATATCTAGTACACTATAATGCTATTTTCATTCTATATTAAGCGTAGATAACAATTATAAGATAATTACTTCCAAAATAACTTATTCCCCAATCAAACGTACCAAATGTCTCAACACTTTAGTTTTTAGTACTATAAATATAATAAAAATACTCCATGTTATTATTTGATTGGTTCTTTGATCGATTGGTTTATTTTTTAAAAAATGACTAGAGTTTTGATCGAGCTCCTTGAAATAATTTATTATTTTTAAATAATCGATCAAATATGATTCGTTATACTAAAAATATTTTTTTTGAATATTTAAACGATCAAAGTTGGTTTTTTTCTTGGGTAAAAAAAAATCGAGAGTGATTAGTTTTTATGACAACAACTTGTTCAACATAGTCTTACAAATAGGACTTTGAAAAGGGTAAAATGCATATAAATCTTACTTATATTTTATGGAGATAGAAAAGTTATTTTTGAGAAAGCCTTAATAATCGATATTACACGTAGCAAAGCTAATAAAAAATAAAAATTACAAAATTAAAGAGGAAATATTAAATCATAAGGAAAGCATTACAAGAGCATCCAAAGAAAAAGAACAATAACAATAATCAAATAACACGATAACTGAAGCACATAAAATAACATTGATAAAAAGATTGAAGAAAACTATGAGAATAATGATGCTACTATTACTCGAGATCAAACCAATTAAGTTAAACTATTCTTCCGTGAATCCAACAATTATTCAGTAGATTTTCGCCATATTTTTAATAATATTTTTCTAATAGTCATTATTAATTTTAAAATTCATATTTGCTCTACTTTAATAAACTTAAAGAAACTAAAAATGTTCAAGTACTATATTTAAAGGACCAAAATACACATAAATAAACAATTATGTAAAAAGGAAAAGTTAAAAGACAAATAAAATAAAAACAAAAAAATCACTCTAAAATACCTTTACCTTCTTTCTTCCTCTTAATTCATTTTTCACACACACAAACACACTCACTGTGTGTTCATCGGAATCCGCCATGGATGACGAAAACGAGAGCTCCAAATCAGCTGCACTCAAAAATTCAAATCTAAAAGAAGACAAAATCGAAAATTCCTTCGTACACAACGACGACGACGGAGTAACTGGTGCTAGCAGTGGAGCTGAGAGTTTACGAGAATCAAAGACGGAAGCTTTAATTTCAGAAACCCTAGCTCATCCTAATGTAGAATCATCCTTACAAATTGAAATTGATAGCCAATCCGAATTCGATTCAGAGTTCTCTCCCTCTTACCAACTTTCTGGTACTATTCAATGCTGTTTAATTAGTTGTATTGCCTTTTTGTTTTGAGAAAATTGGGTATGTTCATTAGCTCATGTTTCTATACATTTGAACCGTTTTTTTTATAATCGTGGTGTACCGGACTCCACTAATTCCACGAGATATCTGTTATCTTCCACTAGCGTATTAGGTAATTTGGTGCACCAATGATAGATTATATGAGGAAAAAATACAATTTATGTGACATGATTTCGTTTTTTAGTTAGTTCCAAAGAAAACGACACATTTTTATTATTTAGTAACAATTTAAGGTTAATATCTATGTTCACCCTTAGTGAGTGTTTCCAAAGTTTTTCTTTTCTAAATTTCGTGTTAACTATCAAGTCTAATAGCATTGCATAAATTGGGATGAAGGAAGTAGTAGTATTTTGTCTATGTTGGGAATTGAACCTGTGATCTTAGGATGCTTAACATCTTCATTGACTACTAGGCCACGCACTTGGTGCTATACATTTGATTTTTATTTCCTGTTTTATGCGTATATAAGCGTAAAATGCAGAATTAATGGTCAAAAGCACAGCTGAAGTATTACATTTTTGGGAGTTTCCTACTTGATCATGAGTTGTATATGCATGCTTAATTGTCTACGAAAATTCTGTAATTATTGTGTTGAATAATCTGACAGAAGTACCAGTGGAATATGAACTGCCCTCGTTTGGTTTCTCGAAAAAAATCAAGGTATGCAATTTCTTTCTTTTGACTTGATATTTTATTTTGATATGATAGTTTATCTATTTCGAGATGTGGGAGACGTTTGAGTGGATTCACAGTGGTAGCATATTCTTATTATATTGTAGAGGTAAGGTCTGCATACGCACTACCCTCCCCAGACCCCACTTATGGGATTACAGTGGTTATGTTGTTGTTGTTATTGTATTTTAATATTTTAGTTTTTCAATTATCTTGTTATAATAATCATAGGTGTCAATGTATCTGAATAGTACTTGCTCAAAAAAAACAGTAGGTGTCTTCCCATCTGTCTGAGCCTTAGGGTTATAGTTACCCGGTACTCGTGTTGGTGGAAAGTACTCAAGTAGCAGGTACCCCGTGAGGAATCAACATGATCCTTTGGTTTTGGATAAATTGAAAGCAAAGGTAAGAAACCTTAACAAGTGTCATATGGTGACCATCACATTGCCACTCTAATTCATAATATCTCATATTGCAACATTATTTTTGACGTGATGCTATAAATAATTAATAGTCAAATTATGTTTGTAGGTTAATACATTACGTTTTCCAGAGTATCTGGTTTCGGCTTTTCTGTTTATAATAATGTTATAATTTGGGATCCCAGCCTTTAGTGCTAAATATTAGTACACAAAACTGTTACCTTTGTCAAAAAAACAATGTTATACTTTTTACTAAAAAGTTAATTCAGACAATTGCTGGAACTGGATATGTATATTTGTGGGATGGGTTGACAACAAATGAGTCATTTCATGTTGTATGCAGGATAGAATTAGTGTTACAAAGCCTGGAACTTTGAGTGCTCAAACACGAACAGAACATCAGCGACGTGTGCCTGATGCCGCATCCTCATTGGAGCTGTCCTCTATATCCGTTGCACAGTCCATTTCATCAGTGCCAAGCGCAACTCTAGCAGAAAGACGATCATCAGCAGCAGTAAATTGTAGCACAGGAGAAGTGGTTAAGCAGAGTTCCGACACCCAGGTTCTACCTCTTATACCAGTTCTAAAGACACCAACTCGCGATGGGTACAATTGGCGGAAGTATGGTCAAAAGCAAGTTAAAAGTCCTCAAGGTTCTCGGAGTTATTACCGATGCACTCATTCTGAGTGTTGTGCCAAGAAGATTGAGTGCTCTGATCACACTAATCGTGTTATGGAGATTATTTATAGAAGTCAACACAATCATGATCCACCCCCAATAGTAAATAGCTCAAGGGAAAGCAAGTCTGCAGTATTGTCTTCACCTACCAATGGCAAAAGTATAATAGCTCATCCAAGTAGAAATCCTAGTGAGACCGTAGTATCCTCCTTAAAAGAAAATTTGCAAGAAAGTTTACCAATTGCTGAGACAGCAAATCAGGATTCCGGTGGGTCTGACACTGACACTGACACTGAAATCACTATTAAAGAGGAGCATAGTGACGAGCCTGGACAAAAGAAGAGGCAAGTTTGTATTCAATTTTAGTTATTTCATTTTTCTGCTTTTCATCTTACTTGTGTCCAAAACCATATGATTTATCTCAGTTCTCACCTATGATTTCCAGGTCGAGGAAAAGTGATGCAAACTGTTCTGAATCTGTTTCTAAACCTGGAAAGAAACCCAAACTTGTGGTGCATGCTGCTTGTGATGTAGGAATCTCAAGTGATGGCTACAGATGGCGAAAGTATGGACAAAAAATGGTGAAGGGAAATCCCCATCCAAGGTACTGTATTATTTTATGCCGTACACTTGATAAATCATTTGATTGCTCTGCCTGCCTTACGCTGAAATTCTAAGAGCTGGAAGGGAGTTATGCCACATTAAACACATTTCTTGAATCATACTGGAGTTTTTTCTATTTTCTCCGCTTTGTTTCCTTTTGTTTGGATTGTGCTGATGGATGAGAGTTCTATTCTTCATGCACCCTATTCTGCTCTGTTAAACTAAGTTGCTCGGACTCTTCAAAAATGTCGATGGATGCATGAGGGATACTCCAAAAGTAGTGCGTTTTCAGAAAATCCAACATGGGTGCAGCAGCATTTTTGGAGACTCCGAGCAACATAGTTGTTAAATGCTATGGATGAGAGTGTCATTCATCTTTACACCCTATTCTGTTCTGTTAAGACTTTGGTATTCTTCAGGTAAATAATTCCTGCTAGTTTTCCGTTTCAAGTTAAAATTTCTTTTGATTCAACATCAATATGTATGGTCCTATGTAAATTCCCCTCGGGAAATCTTAGTAGCTTAGTTGGTTGACTACCTGAACTTTCACCTTGTTGGTGAGGGTCCGATTCCAACCTTGTAATCCCCTCCACCATTTTCCCTTCCCCTATCACCAATTTTTGGAAATAAAAAAGAAAGAATGGTCCTATGTAAAAGGTTATGGACATGCCAAGCCTTGAGGCAAACAAAGAAAACAACTTGTGAAACGGCATATTCTAGCTTGGTAACGTTCTCTTCCGAGCAGACAATTAAGTAGGTTGTACTTTCATTCATATGTAAACCGATTTCTAAATGTAGGTTTATTCCAATATTTACATATTGACAACTGTTCTCACATATTACTTGTTTTTATCTACTTTACGTTTTAAGTCATATCTTGGTCAAAAGTATACTTCATTTTGCTTCTTTCGTTCTCCTGTTCTGTCCTGAGTTGTTTCCTGGATGACCTTTAGGAACTACTATCGCTGTACATCAGCTGGATGTCCTGTTCGAAAGCACATTGAGAGGGTTGTAGATACCACAAGTGCTTTAACAATAACATACAAGGGAGTACACGATCATGACATGCCCGTACCCAAAAAACGTCATGGTCCACCGAGTGCACCTCTCATTGCTGCTACTGCCCCTGCTTCCGTAACCAATATGCATTCTAAGAAACCTGAACCGCTACAACATCAAAAATCGACCACACAATGGTCCGTGGATAAAGAAGGTGAGTTGACAGGTGAGAAATTGGATGTTGGAGGAGAAAAAGCAATGGAATCGGCTCGAACACTGTTGAGTATTGGATTTGAAATAAAGCCTTGCTAAAATTGTTTAGCTGCTTTGATTTTTTTTTCTTGCATTTATTAGTTTTTCTTTATAGGGCTTTCTTGTAGAAATTTAGAAGAGTGTACCTTTTTTTATAGTCCTCCAATATATAGATAGTCTATACTCAGTTATGTACATTATTGTGGAGCAAAATAATAGAACTTAAGAGGAACATATTGTGATGTTTGTCCATTTGCATCTGTTTCTTCTATTTATTAGCAAGTTTTAGGAGAACTTAGGTTGGACATGAATCAATTTAGCATATAAATTGTTCCTTTTTTTTAGTATGCTTTCTTTAGTATTTTGTTGGCTTCTTCAGTCTTCTTGTTTTCTTTATTCGAACTACTTTGTAATGTTTTTAGTTTAAGTCATGGGTCTATCAGGTCTACCTTCGTACCGCTGGAACCAAAAACCCTTGACGTGCACCTAACTCACACTTTTCACATGCTGAGTCCTTACCACTTGAGAGGTGACTACTTTTAGAGAGTTGGGACCTTTCTAGAACAATAACAACATACCCAGTGTAATCCCACGGGTGGTGAGAATGTCCTACTTTCTGATTCAGGGAAATGTTTAAGATGGTAGCTTTTGAAGTTGTAACAATAACACTACACCACTATATACAACAAAAAAATTACCACCACTTCACTCAATTTTGATCTTGTACTAACAATAATCTACAAACCTAAGCATCTATAATGCATAGAAATCGTCCTCGTCTCTGTACACAATGAGTTCTGCTACTAATCTGTGTGAGCTTAGACGATAACGAGATGATACAAGTGAATTGGATCGTTAAAATGCTCAACGATACGATCACACCAAATGAGAGACTCAGGTCAATGATTGATCTACACATTTAGATCCTTCTGTTTTCCTTCAGTAGCTGCTAAACAGACTTGAAATCTGAAGCAGATGATAAGATGATCATTTGTTATACCAGCAACTTGCATGAAGGAATAGACAACAGTGGGTCCCACGCCACGGAAACCTCTCCGAACTAGGTCCTTACTAATAACGTCCGATTTTGAGGTCTTTACCGGAACTTGATGAGGATATCGGAATCTGCCAAGTATAGGCTGTTGGTTCACAAAGCTCCAGATATACTTGTCAAATGAACCAAATTCAGCTGTTATCTGACATAAGCAAAAACCAGCACAAATTTAGTTGCAATGACTATTGAAATACTTTAATAGCTAGATGTGGAACTTCACTTCATACACAATAGTTTCAAGTTAGTGATTAACAAGAAGGTAAGACGAAGGGGAGCCTTGGCGTAACTGGTGGTAGAGTTGATGTGACCATGAGGTCACAAGTTCGAGCTGTGGAAACAGTCTCTTGCAGGATTAGGCTACGTATAATAGACCCTTAGTGCACCCGGCTGCTCCTCCAGTTAACAAGAAAGTAAGATCACGTGTAGTGAATTCTCCCCTCAAGAGCTAGCTTTTAGGGTTGAGTTAGACGCAAATGCCATATCAAATGCAAATACAGTCGAGGTAGGCATTTGCTAAAGCTAACTGAATAAGAGCAAAGGATATACCTTCGACACTTGACGGGCATTTTCAATGACTGCTCGCAGTTTAAGCTCTGATAGTAGTGAACATGCTGTACTTCCAGGTGCTAAAATCTTCTTTTCGTTCAATTTCGACACTGCTACAGGATCAAAATCTGCAAATACTTCTCTGCATCAAGAAATATTTCACCTTGTTAACGAGAAAGACTTTCTATATTGTAATATCAAATTTAGATCATTGTAGGAACTCATAAACTTCAAATTTCGAATTTGCCTCTAGAAAAGAGTAGAATGGGAAGACGAAGAACTAAGGTATTAGTGGTTTGTCGAGCATTTGACAAACTTACACCATCCATTTCAAATAGGATTTGTCTCCTAGGCACACGAGCAATCCAACCTGTAGGATTTCCTTTACTCGTCCCATTGTTACTGTGAAATATGAATACAAGTACCTGAATATGTCTTCTTTTAAGGATGGAAGGCCATGTGAGTTCAGCCAAAGCTCCACAAAGAACAAGAAGTTCAAATAATCTCCTAAACAAATACAACAAGAATTAGCCATCTGTATTCAGTGAATGGATGCTCTGAACAACAATCTTGAAACTTACTTGTCATCATGGACCGGAACTCCCCATTCTTCGTCATGAAAAATCGCGTAAGATCGATCTGATTGGAGAGAGAAGCAGTATAAGAAACTAAAAGTTCAAGGTTCCAACATAACAAGGAATATACATAGTGTTCTATTCTATCTAGCTTTCCGAAACCAAGCTGATATATCTACCTGGTGATGTTTTCTGAGAACCAACTTTCTGACATAATAGTCAAACACACACCTGAATTATCACTTTTTCGCGAGTTTCACATTCCAACTATCAGTTGTTCTCTTTTCCTATCTGAACTATCACCTGGTTCAAGAAAACCGGGTGATAGTTCATACCAAGGTTGCATACCTGAATCATGCAGCCCTACAAACCTTAAACTCCCTCCAGATTCAGCTCGAATATTCATATATAACGATTTGAACGTTCTCATATAATGAATACCTAGCTACCGGCCATCATCATGATAACATGAACTTTAAAATCGAAAACCAGATCTTCTAAATGGGAAGAATCAATAACATACCAGTACTGGTTGTCACCCAAGCACATCTTCTCTTTGTCTGCAAACCTTCAAGTGAAGAATCTGATGCATTGTCTGAAACAACAGTTAGATTTCGACGTGAACTGCTTCTTCCTACTAGGAGTACTACTAGATTTACAGCTGGTACAAGGATTGCCCTTGCTTCTGAATCAACCACATTCATTGACTTTACCCTTGAAACACCCGACATTTTACGCGAACTTCCCTCCTCCAAATCCTCAAACATTGCTGAAATGTAGAGACAACAGATCAAGAGCGGAGATGAGTCTCAACTCTCAAGTTACGAGTTCAGCAAAATCCAGTAGTTTTGACTCAAATCTTGTAAAGTGTTCGGAAATCTACTAAATATGTACAAATATGAGTTTTTCTAATCAAAGATTCAAACTTTAAAACCCCATTAAACGTTCAATATAACACTAAATATTCAAATGCACACAAAAATCTCATCCACCTCTGACTAAAGACAAGATTCAAGATTTCAAGTTCCTACATTTCCATACATAAAACTATATTATAAACATCTCAAAGATTCAAACTTTAAACAACAACAACATAATCACTGTAATTCCACAATTGGGATCTGGAAAAGGTAGAGTGTATACAAACTTTAACCCTACCTTTGTGGGTTAGAAAGACTGTTTTCGATAGGTCCTCGACTCAAAAAAAGAAATTTTTGAAACAAGTTGCTCGAACTTTAAAACCCCATTATATTAAACATTGCAACATATCCATAAATATTCAAATGCACAGAACAAAAATCCCATCCACCTCAAACTAAAGATAAGATTCAAGATTTCAAGTTCCCACATTTCCATACAATTACAACAACAACATACTCAATATAATCCAACAAGTGGGGTCTGGGAGGGTATAGGACGTCTGCAGACCTTACTCCTACCTTTATGGGGTAGAAAGGTTGTTTCGGATAGACCCTCGTCTCAAAAGAAGTGTAACCAAAGTAGAATAGAAGGGAAAACAACAACAACAAAATAGCAAGATCAACAAAACAACCAAAGCATTTTCCTCTTTTCAGTATTTCATTATAATCTGTGGAGGAAACAAAAATGCTGACATTATAAAGTGATACTACTACTCACTCTCTGTTCCATATTACTTGTTCACTTCCCACTTTACGTGCTTCTTAATTAATAATCATGTTTTTCATTGATTTTTTTTTCTTTTCTTGGTTTTAACTCTACTTTAACTACTACATTTTGAAAGTAAAGTTTAGAGGGAAAAAGAAAACATGAGAACAAGAAAAGATTTGATTTTGAATGTGGTAATGGGAAAGAAAGTGTAGAAAATGACAAAATGGTCCCTCTTGTTTGAGTTAGGTTCAAATTTTATTTATTTATTTTATAATATGAGCTAGCTTTTACGCAGCTCGACTAATTTCACAAGATATCTGTCACCTCACACCTTGAATCTGAAATCATCCTCCCAAATACAAATATCAAATATCGAATATCGAATAGAACACCCCCAAAAGTGAATGGGTAAGTATTTCTTTACTTCATATGTTTTGGAAGACATGCATTGCTAAATTTGTTGAAGCTAGAATGTGGAATCTTCACTTGTTTTCTCATATTTTGATGCTTGTGTCCAATCATCAATCTAATCCAATAATTCATCCATACTACTAAAAAAATAAAAATAACAATAACATATTCAGTACAGTTCCACAGTATGGGTCTGAAGAAGATAGTGTAAGTAGATCTTACCTCTAATTCAAAAGGTGAGGTAGAAAGGTTCATTCCGAATTTCCGATAGACCCTCTGCTCAAGACAGAAACAGATTAGAAAAAGAAGTAATGAAAATACAATACACAAAGAAAATTAATAAAAACAATTGATAGCAGCAGAACAGTACTACAACAATAATTTTATAATCGAACTACACGAAACAACATATAGTAAAATAAATCAAACAAAAAACTACGAGAGTACTATGGCTACTAGGAAGAGCAACAAGACAATACACTCCTAATTATTATAGATGCACTCCTAAGTCCTACCTACTAATCTTCTATCCTAATTTGTGTCCTTCACATTTTCTACTTAAGGTCATGCCCTCAGTAAGCTATAATTGTGTCATGTCATGTCTAATCACATCTCTGAATACTTCTTCGATCTATCTTTATCTCTACTGAATCCATTTGTAGGTTTCTTTAGTTTTCTCATGGTCTTCCTCTTAGTTGTTGACATTTCTTGATAACACAAATTGGAGAAAATGATAGAAATAATTTCTACTTTTGTTTTTCATTAAATATTTGGTACCTTTTTAGGGTCAACTAATCTAAATTCATATCCAAAAATTTATCGTAGGATAAACTATTTTCTATCGGATGTGATTTCATTCTCCAAACTCAAATCTAAAATCTCTAATTATTTCTAATCCAAATCCACCACTTGTTTTCTTCTTTGACTTATGTGTCTAATCATCATTCTAATCAAACAATTTTTCTTCAGTCTGCAATTTATACTCTATGATGATATAGATTACTATAATCCTAACTTGTGAGGTTCTAATTAATACCAACGAGAATTGTGATGGAATCGTAAGTACTTTTCGCTCAAATTTGAACCCTACTAGGTACAGAGTCACTACCCTCCAAGACTTTCCAGCGTGAATCCGTATTTGATAGAACCCAATATTAAAAAAGTTTCTAATTATAAAAACTATGCTTCTAATTTCATGTTGGTTCTTGGCATCAATTATTTCTTGCTTGCATCGTTATAATAATAATAATAATAATAATAATAACATGATGGAAAATAGAGAGAGTCGTTGTCATCAATGTTAATTATGGTGCTAATTTCCATCTAATCACTTAATTTTTGAATAATTCAATAAATTATTTATAATTCTAAACTCGCTACTTTCAAAAGTGCAAGAAGTTTAGTGTGCACCTAATCAACAAAATTATGAAAATATCATCAACTCAACTGTATTTTCATGTTCAAACATAACTCGAACTTCTATTCAATTAACTTCAAATATTCTCTTTTTTTAATAAAAAAAAAACAAAAAACTAATTAATCTCCCATAACATACTACTTTCCTTTTCAAACCTTAATAAAAAAAATTTTAAAAATTATTAACCAAAAACTCAATCTTCAAGCTTTCATTTCCTAAATTTAGTAAAGAAGAAAAAAAGATTGTTGAGATTAGGTATCAAATAGACGGATTGAATAAAATTTAAACAAATTAAAATGAACTGAGTTAATAAATATTCGGGTTCATTAACTCACCCAAAAAATACTTGAGCTGAAATAGATTAGATAAAAATCGACTAAACATTGGGTTATAACTCAATCCACAACTCTTTAGCAAAAGCAATCAACTTTAGAAGTTGGCTTAGACAGAGAACACAAAAGGTGATAAAGGAACTCATATGATGCAACTAAATGAAGGAAAATACAAAACATCCATTTGATTGCGATCGATGAATCCAGAAAACATGTTGTGTTCGTTCAATATAAGAACAACAGAAAATACAAGAGGTTTAAGAAGACGCGGATGAATCCTTCCTTCATATCAACTCTTTTGTGACATACCATTGACAAACTCATCATAAGATCCGAAAATTGCATCTGCAGATGTTAACGGATTACAAGTTAATGACATTACGTAAGTTAAGATGATACGATACAAATGAGGGAAAGAAGATAAAGCAACAAGGGATTGTTCTGCTCATGGATTAACAAGGAAAGATAAACATACCCAAGCAGGCCGCGACCCTGCCACACTCGTGGTGTCACTTGTACGTTAGTCATAGCACCTTGCCTCAGAACTGTCATGGTAACTGCACAACCCTGGTTCGACTGTGCTTCAGCAGCAAGTCGTTGTAACAGATTCTCACCCGACTGGACATTCCCAAATCTCACAATCTGATCTCCAAGTTGTAAACCATCCTCTGCAGCTGGAGATGCCTCGGTTATTTCATCAATCACCGCAAAGGGTCTGCTGAAAACTACATCTATGTCCATGGCGGCACTTGTAGCAGCTGTCACAGAGTAATTGCCCGGAGATGATGAGGAACCAATATTGACAGCAGATCCTTGAACACCTAAACCAGCAGCAGCATCTTAGAAGAAAGAAAAAGGATATATTGTCAGGACCTCCTACAAGAATATGCTCCATTAACTGTACACTCGCTACGTTTCATTTTATACGGAGGTGTTTGATTCTATGGCTATACATGCATGTTATTAAGAGTAAATTTTCAAGTTAAAAGAGTTCTCAAATATAGAAAAAAGACATTCTTTTTAAAGAGACTAAAAGGGAAAAAGTAAAACATACCATGAAACTGATGGAGTAGCAATTTTCAGTGAACTTTAGAATAGCTTATACCAATATGAGACAAGATCAATATCCTACATCAACTACAACTTCAACTTCTAGAAAATGGTTCAACGTACCAGTACCCTTATGTGTTGTGATGCACATGAATGTTTAAGTAAGAATTCGGAAGTAGTATAACTTGAGCAACTAATACCCTTAACCTATTGAATGTGGCTGAAAAAAACCTTCTTCCCCCTATTGGATCAAAAATACCTTCATTGTTATTTCTTGGCTTAAAAATGCCGTAACCTATTGAATTTGGCTAAAAATGTATCCTCCTTCCATCTATTGGACCAAAAATGCTCAAACATTATTTTTGGTTCAATAGGTGAGAGGAGGGTATTTTTTACCCAAATTCAATAAGTTAAGAGGCATTTTAATTGATAGGGTAATGTTTTTTAGACAAATTCAATAGGTAAGGGACATTTTTGGCCCTTCTCCGAAAACCAAAAGCAGGAGGGAATGAAAATTTACAAGCAAACACAGAAGTTGATGCAGAAGCATACACAGAAGATATGATATTTCAGTCGGATAAGCAAAGATGATGGTTAAGCATGAAACTTGTAAACCAGCTGGTTGATCAGCACATGTACCAACGAAGTCAGCTCTACTAAAGCCAACTGATGCATAAGGAAAAGTATTACTATTGCTCATGCACCTGTCCCTCCCACTTGCTGATAAAAATATACCGACCTTCTCAGACAAAACTATAGATCCTTTTAAGTAGCACAGTATGAGAATGTTCTTATCAAAAAGTTATTTGATGTGATCCACCAATGTCACGTACCTGAATCTTTGACAGAAGGTGTAGAAGCAAGCCGTGCCGAATGCAGAACTTGAATATTTTGGTCTATTTTTTCTGTTATAATCTTGTGATCATTACGTAGCTCTGCAGTGTGGAAACACAATGCGGTTTTAGAGAAGAGCATATATAATGTACTATATTGCTGCTGAAACATGAGTGGTTCTGGAAACAATAACAACAAAGTATACAACATTACAGAATACAGATGGTGAATTTCTGATGTTGTAGCAATCGATGTGCAAAACATGGCATGCTCCAGAACAATAACTATTAAAAACAAACAACATCAATTCTTCCTCAATCTCTACATTAGATGATATATATAGATAACAAATAAATACCTAACATTCAGTTAGAAAACTCAAATGCTAATTTTAGGTACCTGCAAAACACCTACAACTTCCAGGTACAAAAGAATTTCCCTTTACTTTATGTGATCACAAAATTACCTGACTCGTCAACTCAATATGAAAAATGTCTTTCCCCAGTTAAAAGCCAAGAATCTTAGCGCCTTATTTCTGAATATCAACATGTTCATTTCTTTACTCACAGTAAGAAAGTATGTATAGGAGGCACACAACCAAGAATTTGGACAATAAAACTGCGAGTTTACAACACCCTTTGGGGTGGCCCAGTGGTTTGAGCTTGGGACTTCCATGTTGGAGGTCTCAAGTTCGAAACCCCTTGCCAGCGAAAGCAAGGGATTTTCCTTCTGGGTCGAACTTGTCGCACTAGGCTTGCCTAGTGCGGGCTACCTCTCCTATGTGGTTTGCGAGCTATTGCATAGGAGCGGGGGTTTTACCCTGTGCACACCCAAAGGGTAGCGGCAGCGGGTTTCCCTTGTCATCAAAAAAAGAAAAAAAAAAAAAAAAAACTGAGAGTTTACAACTTAAGTTTTAACAATACTTCCTGCACCCCCAAGGTTGTGGACTAGAGGTCAATGAGGTGGTATGATAATCATAGGAGACAAAGGTTTGGATGGCAGATTTACCAGATACCTGTGCTGGTCAAAGGTAGAAGGTACCCAGTGGCCACTGGAATAGTCTGGGTTCATTCAAGCTGGCCCCGGTCACCACAACTAAATTCTACTTCCTCAAAACATACTACAAGGCTATTATTCAAAACTTCGACTAAGTTATGACATCAAACTCAAGTCCTAGGCAACTTCACAGACTAAAGCTTTGGCCAAAAAAAACAGCCAGATTTTTGTATAATTACAAACCCAGGCAAGTCCAAAATGCAAAAACAACTAATAAAACAGGCGTTTATCAGCATACCAGCAAGCCTACGCCGGTCACCACGCACAGTTGGAATATCAATATCAGTTCTTGGGAACCCCTGCAATTACATTCAAGATTCAGTCTTTACGATCAAAAGACACATCAGTTCACAAACCCAAAAGAAAAAAAAAAGGATCAACCACTCAAATGAAAAAATCTTAATCAAAACAGTCCTTTTTTTTATGACAAAAATAATAATAATAATAATTCAAGATAAATAAAATAGACATAAGAGCACTGAACCAGCCCGATGCACGAAACATCAGGCTTTCACACGAGGTTTGGAGAAGGACCAACCACACCCCAAGGGGAGCAAATTGGGCAATCTACCCATATCATTACATCAGTTAGACCGACTACACAACTCGAACCCGTAACCTATAAGTCACACGGAGACAACTTTACAGTTGCCCACGAGTTCCCTTCAACATCAATTAGACTGAATACAAAGTATGAAGCATCCCGTGTTCACAGAGGGTTTCGGGGTACGGCCAGTCAACCCGGGGGGGTAATGTAGAAATTAAGTTGGCTGACTCGAATGCTCGAATCATTAACCTATAGGTCACATGGAAACAACTTTATCATTGTTCATGGCTCCCCCTGAACATGAGAGCAGCCGGATGCACGAAGCATCAGGCTTTAACATGGGGTTCGGAGAAGGACCAGCCACACCTCAAGGGGCGTAAACTAAGCAGTCTACCCACATCCTTGCATCTGTTAAATCAACTACACAGCTCAAACCCGTAACCTATAGGTCACATGGAGACAACTTTAC